AATGTTGAATACCGCTATGCAAAATCGTCTTTAGCTACATCCATGACTGGATCGTGGAGGCAGCGATATCAGCAGATATTACTTCCCTCTGCCCAGACACCTCCTCCAGCTCTGCTGGGGGAAGCCTGAGGGGCCCCCAGACCAGTCAAGAGGCACGATTCCTCCATTGTGTCCTAAGTTGTCCTCTTGGCCTCCTGACGGTGGGACATGCTTGAAAAACCTCCACAGGAAGGTGTCCAGGGGGCACCTTCCACCTATCTGAGCCTCCTCAGCTGACTCCTCTGGATGTGGAGGAGCAAAGGCTCAACTCAGAGCCTCTCCTGAATGACAGAACTTTCAACCTTTTAAAATATTCAGGTGTTCTGGGTTTTTAGCATTTAGATGTTTCAGGATCTTGGATCACAGGACCCTTTCACACACTAAGTTTTCATACATTTATTTTAATTTTCTATCCTTCCACTGGAGGACATTTAGGGATGGTTGGATTTGAACAGGATTTCACTCAGCATCCTGGTACCTTCTTTACAAATATATATGCACCAGTGCAGTATTATTAACACCTACTTTACAATACCAGATTACAGTATCTTATTAATCTCATAGGGCTTTTAAATATGTGACAATATATTTTCAATTTTAATATATAAGGTACTTCCAAGTAATGTAGAGACATATTTTGCATAGCAAAGTAAAGTTTCTGTTACCATAGTAGAAATCTGTTGCAAGGACCAGACAATGAAAGTGGTAAATCTAAAGAGGAGTCAGTGTTTTTATTTTTAGGACTCCTGCAAAAAACCATGTCACTGCCACTTTTCAATATCAGTCTCACCGGTGGTTCGTCTCCAGATGCCAGGACAAAGACGCTGACTTTCAGGTAACCTCTGACCCCGGCCGATAGATCGTCAGGGTCACACAGCAGCAACCATTTTCTTAAGAAGCAATGTCCTGAAAGGTAGCAACAAGTTTGTGGGTTATAGCTGCAAAATACTCTATTAATAACAACCTGAGGACTATTAAAAAACATGCTTACTGTGCTCGTTGTACACAGTGCCAACATCCAGCTGTGGAAAGCAAGAATCGATTTTAGATTTAGGTAAGCCTTGGATTTGCTGTCATTATTGAACTTTGTGTAAAAACATAAATAGAAAGTCTAAGGTGTATTTTACCTTAAATTCACCAACCACGGCATCAGTTCTAAGTGAGCGAGAGTCACACACCTGTATAGGAAGATATTGAATTAATCAAAATCTTTATTATGAATTAAAATTTATTTTTCTCGTCTTATTAACTCGCAAACATTGTGCTAAATGCTTCCATAAACCAAAATCTAAACTTACAGTGATGAAGATGGGTTCATCAAACAAGTCTGATGGTGTCTCATAAAAGTTTAGGAAAAATGTCTGCAGATAGAAACCGGAAAATATTTCAGTTTAAGGGAGACTAACAGACACATGACGTCAGAATAAAAGGATCGTGGCAGGAAGAGCTGCTTACTTCATCAAAGACCGGGTTGTTTCCCTTTCTGATGCGGGTCCTCTTAGACTGTCCGCCTACAGCGACCTTCACAACAGGTTTGATGTTGACTCCTGGTAACTGTCGTGCTTCAATGACCCGAACACGAATCTGAAAAGAGAGGGTTTTTTAAGTGCTCAGCAAAAAAAAAAAAAAGACTTAAACTGGACATACTTGAAAAATTTGGTCAGTAAAAAAAATAAGTTGACAAAAAGTGTTTATTGTGAAACAGGTCAAACCATTTGTCTGACTCAAGAACCTGTTACAGCTACCGTATATGATAATCACTAATGATATTTTGTCAGTGACTGATGCCGGACAAGTTTACATTATGTTTCTTTCAAAGATTATTGTAAAATTTAGAGGAGCTTTTTACAGTTATGTCCTACAAAGGTTCAATCATGCTCTAACAGGGGTCTCAAACTCAAATCCTTGAGGACCAATGTAACTTCTTGTTGACATCTTCCTGCTTTAACACACCTAGTGTAAAGTATGAGCGCAGTACAAGAGATCACCTGCTAATAATGATGTAGTTTATCCATTCTCTTTTCAAGTGAGTAGGTCAAGGAAGGGATCTTAGGAGACTGGCCCTCGTAGATTTGAGTTTGAAACCTCATAAATAGGGATCAAAGGAACAGCAGTAGGCTGGTTTCAGCATGTTAAATTAGATTAGATGAGCTTTATTGATCTCACAGCGGAGAAATTCACTGGTCACATATTGGTATAGTAATTAAAGAAGGTGAAAACAAGGAGGAAAAAGGTGCATTAAGAATAAACAATATATATACAGTATTGTATCATTATATCATTGTATCAGATACAATTTCATTATATTTATAGGATTTAGGGCATAGAGAACATTCCTGGATCAGAAAAAGCCTTATAAAAAAAAGCCTTATATAAACTTAATGTAAATCAATGAGGCAGAGCCCTGTATTAAACATATTTTTGTAATATCCTTCTTTCAATTCTGCTAAAGTTAATCTGCATTACACACCCGGAATTCATTATATGAAACCTGACATTTGTTCAAAGTTCTTTGACTTTCTGTTTAGATTTCTCTTCGCCTTATTTCAAAATGTTTTATTTTGTTCCATACATTTGTAGTTTACCCAGTTCCTTTTTTTTCTTTTATCTATCCTTAAATTTGCCTTTGTATTCTAAAAGGTTTTAACGGACCATTTTTTTCTTGACTTTTCAATATTAACTCATATCTGATATGACTTTTATAACAAAGAAGCTTTTGAAGTCATCTAACACTGCAATATATTTTACTTTAATGTTACAGATACATGACTTAAAAACAAGATTTAAAACATATGAAGTTAGTATTGCTGTGAGTTATTTTTATTGTTTTGTTTACACCCAACCTGTATGTCCTGAGGTTTGTTAGGCAGCTGTTTGGGCTGACTGCTGGCTCCTCTCTTCCTCTTCCTCAGTCCTCCATGGGTGTTATAGGCTGGCGGGGAGCGTTTGGGTGTGTGGGCAGTGGGAGACTCCTGCCCTGGAGGCCCCTGGGGGCCAACAATCACCATAGAGCGGCTGTCGTCAATTCCTGGGTCCTCTGCAGGCTCCACCATGATCATACTCTCTGTGTCCTCCTCACCCAGAGTATCCAGGGAAATCACTTTTTCAGGCAGAAGTTGCCAGATGGAGAACATAAGGACAGTTTTTATTAGGTCAAAAACAACTGGTGTCATCTAAAATAGCTCTGTAATATTATTGTTTAACTTAAACACTGATCATATTACTTGTAACTGTGTCCAGCTCTATGTTGGGATTGCTGTGAGGAAGAGACTCGGGCTGCGGGGGAGGATGGAAAATCGGAGCTGATCCTGCAGGAGGGATGTAGGAGACCTGCAGGGTCAGCGTGGCCTGGTGGAGGCAAAGCATTCAATGGGTTAATACCGACCGTGAAACCAACTCTACAACAGTGGCAAATGATTGCACTAAAGGTAAAAGTAAGGACACACTTCATACAGCAACTGTAGTGATGCAGCAAATGAATTATGAACCAAAGTGAAAATGTAGGAATCATATAAGGGAAACGTCAAAATCTTTCTTCCTTCTAAATCCCTGATATGCTCTTTAGATTGCTTTATATTTCCTCTTGCACTCATGGGACAGAAAGATCAACATGTTGAAGGTGCAGGGTTTGAAGGGCTCACCCCCGTATTGTTTCTCTTTGTGTCCAACAGCGAGACAGTGAAGGTGGCGGCAAAGTTGGGCGAATTGAGAACATCTCGGAGACCCAGCCGACATTCACCCAGAAACCTGATGAAACCAATTAAGGAAAACATTTTCATTGATTTTTCTTAACATTTCAAGGACAAAGGAAATACCCTCTCAGTAGACAATACACAATGTCATAGTTTCCTGACATGGATAATCAGTTTGCCATAGAGAGATGGATACAAGGAAGTAGTGAGTCAATGGAAAAGTAATTTAATACACAGACTGTAGTCCTTGCAAACTCAGATAACGACCATTGGGATTTTTCAACTATTGGTGTTTCAGTTTATATTATGTGGTTCTGCAGGACTGAGGATCCTCTGACAACAATGAACATTACAGTATACAATACGAATATTAATACAATTTAAAAACATACATTTTCATATATCTCACTTTGGGCCAAAATGAAAGCAAAGTAAAAAAAAAAAAAGTGTCATTACATATAAAGTTTCTACTGACCAGCTGCAGGACCCAATAGTTCAGTAAGCTGCCATAAAGGGACTTCGTTTAAGACTACTACATGCAGTATCTAAATATTTAGTAGAGTGGGAGGTGATTTTTTGTTATATTGGCTATCATTATGTTTAAAATATTTCAATCTTATCATTATTGTAGTTTTAAAAAGCTGGGTACTTCTTTCAGAGGATGGAAACATAAAAACCAGTTAGAATATAAATTAGGGTCATTAGAGTATGATTTTTAAAGATTAAATTCTATGTCATGGTCAACACAATTTTATTGGAAGTTGCTGACATGGTTGTTGTCTGATGTCACTCATTTACACCATATAAAGGAAGGATAAGCCACACAACTTAATTGTTAAAGAGGCCGGATTATCACAGAGTGCTGTATTACAGCAAATAAAGAGAAGGTTCAGTGGAATGAATAAAACATGTTATTAAAATGTGGATTACCACAAAAAAATCCATTCAGGAATTTGGTCAAGCTTCCATCAAGATCCATTCAAAAAAATTCTAAACAAATCCTAATTCTTATAGATGTACATACTGTATAGGTCTAGACTGCTGTGTGGAGAGTCAATTGTTATTATTATTTGCCAATAACATCACTGTATATGCTTCCTTTGGTTAATGCCGAATTGTTCCTTTCTGTTAGTACTTGTTCAGGAAATTTCATGCGATTTCTTTGACTTCTCTGCAATATCATTTTATTATCTAATTTAATTCACTTTGAATTGGTACTAAAGACAAATTAAACTTTTTAAGTGGTCTGAAAAATACACTGCATATTTTTTTTTAGATTTAGTTTGTGCTCTTTAGTTTATAAATTAATATTTAAAGATACATCAAAACACACCTCTATATGCTGTTACATTGTAGTAGACAAAAATCATGTTCTAGAGTTGCATAATAAAAGGTGGCTACATGTTGGAGTTGCTCTGCTACTGTAGCTTGATTCTGATGTTCTTTAACTTTAGTTCTTACATTGGATGCTCAGTTTCTTTTTTCAATGTTTTTTTTGGCTCTAGTGTTGGATGCTGTGCAACTAGAAGAATTTTTGTCAGTATATTATTTGCTATAATTATTATGATGGTAACAGTAGCAACCACGGCAAGGGAACACCGGGGAACAGCACAAAGGATGCAGAGCAGAAGCAAGGTGAAGAGAGAGGAGCAAAAATTCCAGCAATTGTTTCCATCCATCATTGAAGTAAGAAGTTAGAAGACAATTCTTGTTCTTATTTTCTCAGAGTATAAGCCACTTTAAAAAAGAAAACCTGCATTCTAAAGAACTGTAAGGAGATGGTCAAAGGAAGCTGAAGAAGCCCTGCAAGGTTGTGTCGAGGGTACAAACTGGGATGCACTGTGTCTGCCACATAGAGAGGACATCAGTGCAACGACTGAATGTGTGACTGACTACATAAACTTCTTTGTAGATAACATCATCCCTACCAGAACAGTTAAATGCTTCCCTGAAAATAAGCCCTGGATGATTGGTGATTGGAAGGAACTGCTAAACAAGAAAAAACAGAACCTTCAGGATGGGGGACAGGGACATATTGAGAAATATACAGAAGCAACTTAAGGCCAAGATTTGAGGAGGCATACAGAATGAGGCTGGAACACAAGCTCCAGCAGAACCATATCAGAATATGTGGTCAGGGATTAAAAAGATCTCAGGCTTCATTTTAAAGGTGGATGATACAGATGGAAATCTGGGACAGAGACAATTAATTAAATACATTTTTCAATAAGTTAAGTTCAAGAACATGCTCAGCATCCTTCCCTTCTAACCACAAGCAAATGGACATCCTTCCCTCCTTATACCCAAAGCTTCTCTGTTAAACCTAAAATGCTTCATCTTTCACCTCTACTGTGAACCCTCTTGTTTCTATGTGTTTATTCAGAGCTGGTGCTGCTCCCTCCCCCTACAACCTGTCTGTCTTCAGAAGTCAAGCGAAGAGGAAACTGGATGGTGTCAGCCCCAGATGAAGGCTTGTGCACAGAAACTCTTTGGGATTCTAAAATATTTTTTCATTGAATTGAATTTGTCAAAAAATTCACCCATGTTGACTATTAAATACATAAATATTTAACTTATATAAAAGCATTTGAAAAAAATTAGGCTTTTTGTACCTGTTTCTTCCCATTTTCTCATGGTCTTTGACCACACAGTGAATCTCTGCTCCAGAGTCCAGAGGAATCCCCTTCAGATCCCATTCAAAACCCTAACGAGTGGACACAACATAACAATAGCATGAAAATGTTATGACTGCATGATAAAATATACATTTAATGCTCAAAATATAATATGTACTTTAACATTGTCTCTGAACTGTTCCTAGATGTGATAAAGATGATTATAGAGTCATCTTTGCATGACAGTGTGATTCCCCTTGTACAGTCGGCTATGTTGTTACTGGAGTGTAGCTGTTTGCAAAAAATGTAATGTAAATGACTTTGCTTAAAAATGTGTTTCCTTATTCAACAAATTTCTGGTATAGCTTTTATAATAAAAAAAAACATTTCCATTCAGTCCGAAATCTGCATGTAAAAACATGGATGTAAAAATATTAATGAAAACCTGAGCAAATGTAAAGGAAAAAAAATCCATCACAAGTCAGATTTGTGAAAAAAAAAAAAAAGAAATCTACGTAATTAGTTCCTGGCACAGCAAATCTTGCATGACTACTAGCAACATTACCTTTCTTTTTGTTGTCATTATTTTGTAAATACATTTTTTTAACCAAAATTGTTGAAGATCACAAAGTTACATATAAAACTCACCTCATTCCAGACTGGGTTGGGATTGTTTTTAATGACCTTAGTCTTCTTCTTTGACCCTGAAACAAATATAGCGAATGTTAGATAAATTGCATATAGTACAAGAAAGAGACCGTAGCTAACAATGCCTTTACATACGCATGTAGAGAGATTTTAGGACACAAACTCAGAACTAACTGTTTCAGCGTTTAACCAAAGTACAATATTAGAAATTTTTGTAGATTTTCTTGAATTTAACATAGACGTTTCATACTTTGATTCTGTCTGCATATTTTCGATGGTCACTTTAATTTTGGAATAATGTTGAAATTCTCTAGAAATAGGCCAAAAAATCATTAAAAAAAGATTACATTGTAGCTAAGAATTCATTAAAGACTATTATGCTGTAAAGAAACTGAAAGTGAACCCAATAATACAACAAGGTGCCGTGTTGTGCATAAAAGGTTCATTTAAAGTTATGGTTGATAGACTGAACTGGAAATGCAGGCTAACAGGGTGGTGGTAGTCTGGAAGGGCAAGAGATGGCTAAAAGGCTGGTAACAGGCTGAACAGGCTGGAAGCAGGTAGAGGAAGTCCCGGTGGTCACCACAAACAGAAGCGGATGAGAACCAGGTGGGGCAGCGTGGGCACAGGAACGCAAGGAAAACAGGCGGTACAGACAATGAGTTGGAATAGACAAGAAAAGACAATCTGGTGGAGACTGAGAGTGGAACATATCTGTTGCTAACTGGGCAGCCGCAGGTGAAGCTGCTCACCTAATTAACAGAGAGGAGCAGAGCAGCAGGAGGAAAACAGCCAGCTAAAACAAAGGACAACAACCAAAGGTAGTGCATGGCATACTGTGTTTTTTTAGCAAGCGCAGTATTTGAAATATTTGTCTGGATTGATTATTTGACATGTAAATATTTTAAGTAAAACACAACAAAAAGTGATCGAAACTAGAACATTTTCAAAGACATTTTTAAAACATTCCAAAAAATCTGAGTTGAAATGTAAAATTATTATGCAACTGCATGATTTTGAAAAATTAAACCTTTAAAAAACTTGCCATAACTTTTAAAGTGAAGTCTTAATATACCTTATTTTTGCTTAGACCGGGAAATATGAATCTCTGCACAACCTCAGTATCAATTATCACTCGAAAAACGTCAACTAAAAAAGAACAAGTGCTTAAATAATTTATCTTCAAGGTTGGAAGAAAGAAATTTGGGGGCAATGTAGAAAGAAATGTAAAGAAATCCTATCCCTGTTTGTCATGGAGTTTCCTTCCTGTTTTGCAGAACAAAGGGAACCAACAGCATCACTCTGCCATCATACTGATACATAAAAAGATTCAGATCTAATAATATTCTGGCACTGTATCACTGTTATTAAACATATTATGGAGAGGGATCCGCCTTTACTGATCATAGACTCGAATCACTCCTTCATGTTTATTGAGCTGCCCTTTGAGCTGTCTTGCATAGGACATTATTGATACTTAATGACTGTATCAAATCTGGATTATGTCAAAACTATTCAGATCCAACTATAGCAAAATTTCAAAGCTTGTTTCTTATTCAAATAAAACCCTTTATCTTGTTAGGACTGGTGGTTCCAGTGACGGAGGCGATCATACAGGGAAAGGTCCGACTGAGGTGATTTTTCCATAGTTCTGTTTTTTCTCAAATACGGATGACAAATAAACAATGTCTTTATGTGTGTGTGTGTGTGTGTGTGTGTGTGTTTTATCTCTCTATCACTTCCTGTAACATGAAGTCCTGTGCTCTGATTTCCTGCCTGTCAGACAGAAAATGGAACAATGAACAACCAGAATATGTTATCAACCACAGAGGGAATCTGAACACCTAAATACAGCTCAGCTTATTTATACACAGGCCATTTCAGGACACCGTGACGAACTTTAAGCACACATGGGGACTTGAATCATCACTGGTTGCTGACAAAGACCTTATCATTATTTTTTAACAGTTTTGAGCAAAAAGAGGAACAGATCCAGACACAAAGTTAGATCTGTAGGAAATAAAAACAATGTTCATTGTCTTGTTCAAGAGGCAGCTGGACACAACACCACCAATTGTCCCACAGTACCAGGTCCATAGATGATCTATCCAGCTATTATTCCAATTTCCAACTCTTAGGCTGAAATGATGCAGGTTACCAGTCCAAAAGGAAAAACCAAATTACCCCTCCATCTCTTTCCAGCAGATATGTTGTAACCTAAGCAAGTTCTACATTTGCCGATAGTTGACCTCCCAAAAAAGTGAAAATTGCAAACCAAAAGGAGTCATCCTAAGCCAGGGGGGATTTACCATAAGGCATTACTAGGCAGTTGCTAGGGTCCCACGTTCCTGGGGGTCCCATAAAGCTCTGTTTACATGTATGATTCATACAACTATTCCTTATTTGTGCACATTAATTACAGCTTTTGTTTTTGATCCAAACAAACAGCAGCAAACCATTTGAAAACAAACAATGGAAAGAGCAGTGTTGTAAACTTTGCGCATTTGTTGCTATATTTGGCGACTTTTCAGACCCTTCTAGCACTGTTATTTAAAAAAAAAAGCATCTAGCGCCATATCTAGCGACTTTTTTCTGCTTGTGGAGATTTTGGCAAAAACCTATTAAAGCACCGAACTCTGGTCTCCAGAGCAAGTACATTGGTAACCCTGCCCCCAGTCTCCTCTATCTCTTCTGTTGTCATGATTCATGCAGCTATTATTTCATACAAATAAAAAATAAAGAACAGATAAGCAGATCATGGCTTGTCTACAGTGAAAAGAAGGACTGCGTTATTTAATTTTGGCATAGTGTTTTTGAAAACACAGGAAAGAGCAATCAGCTAAGTGAGCTTAGTGATTGAAAAAAAACTTTCATTCCTTTTGAGTACAAAAAACATATAGAGGAAAACAATAAGAAAAGGGACAAGAAGAGACGGACAAAATATAGAACAAATGATATATGTCTATTCTATAAAAAAATTCTGTGTCTGTATAATGCGTCAGTTTTATTTGTTGTCTTCTCAATTCAGAGGGCCCCCTGCCTGTCTTTGCCTAGGGCCCCAAATGTCATAAATCCACCTCTATCAAAGTAATATAAATACCTGAGTTTGCCCACTACTTAAAATTTCTCCCTAAATGAGGAAACTCTAAACTTCTAATGGCCTTTATAAACTGTGAGATTTTAGCAGGCATATACAACTACTGAATCACAAAATATGTAAAATTGATAAACTTTAATTCAGCATCAACTTTGATATGAGCACATTTAACAGTTGCTTAGTATTTATTTGGTGTGCAACAATAATCAACTTCATTAATGTGAAGAACATTGGCGCACAGCTTTCACCTCTGCCACCCAAGACAAACAAAATAAAACAGTATGAAGATGTTATTCTTGTAGTTGCAGCCTGTAACTACATCAGAGCAAATCTTTCGAAAGGGGGAATGAGGAAAATGTGGAAAAGGATGTGGATGCAGAAAAAGGCCAAATTGAGATGTTGCTGTCAGAATTGGAGCTTTGTATTTTTCCTTTTTATCTATTAGCAGTTAGCCTTTACAGTATATCACCTATATTCTATAATTTTTCAATAGATCTGATTAGATAAAAAATGAAAAAGACCCAAATACAAGGACTGCATAAAACGATGAGATGAAAAGTGAACTTCTAACAGCTGATCGATAGAAATAGGTTGTAGCAACTGTCACACTGTGAGATAGTCATTTCAAATATCTGAGACTAATATTTACTGCAGGTTATCTTTGGTCACAGGATGCTGACACCACTCTCCTTGAACTTGTCTCATTTCAAAGTCATCACTAAAGATTTTTCCATATTGTCAATTGACATATTTCTTCTATGATGGCCCTAAATCACACAGTGTATTCAAGCCATCAAAAATAAGTCTAGCCATCCAGCAGAGGTAGCTCACTTCCTGATCTAAATGTTAGGGATCTTGTACTTTTGGTTATGACCCACCGTTCGTGAAGGTGGATCCACCCATACTATGACGGACTGAACCAACGACCTTTATGACTCCAGATAAAGTCTGTCCATCTGTCGCTCTGTCCTTTAATTCCTAAAATCCATTTAGTAAAAATCTAAAAAAGATTGTATCTCTTTTAACTCTGGGTCTTTAATGCCAGTATGCAAGGTTAATATAAAAGACATTTATGTAGAAACTAACTAGGTGTCACATAACAGGTAAAATTGTGGGGAGGATAAGAGAGAATTAAAGTTTCTTTTCTGTATTGAAATATTTTAAAAAAATTATAAACCTTGTTGCAAACCAGTCAACTATTTGTACTAAATGACCTTTAATCACTTGGCTGTTTTCTTGATGTAAAAAAAAACAAACACTCTATCCTCCACCCCTTGTTATGCAAACCCTTAAAAGTGTGTTTGCTTTCCTGTTTTTCACACTTCCATCATCCACTTTCAGGATGCAAACCAACACACAAAATTTGGACAAAAACACGGCCAAGAAAACGCACACACATTCACTGAGTAGCACCTACGTAACTGGACCTGTGTTCTTAGAGGATATCTTAAAAAACATCTCCACCCTTCCATACACAGGTCGAGAGGTTACATTATTTTGTATGTGTGTGAAGACCTAAATGTCCCCTTGGGTTGGTATCTTAGTTTGAATCTGAGAGGAAGTAACGCAGCGCTGACTTCCTGGCTGGTTCAACTTGGCACGTTTTCTGTCAAGTTCTTAGAATAGAACAGGGCACTGAGTGAACTGCGCATGGGAAACCTAAGTTTAGATATGCCTGGCCCATGTTTGTCTGTCTGTCAGTGTGCATTACTGCATGTGTTATCTTGGGATCTGAAGCCAGTGAGTAGCTTAGTCTTTTCTTGTGGCACCATTGTACACTAACACCATTAAAGAAATCAAATTTTGTACAATCGTCCCACTGCATGGCAACAATTTCAGATTATAATCAGCACAGGGCAGAAATTATACATTTTTAATCTCTGTTTGGACAGGGGTGAAAACTTGTTTGTCAGGAAATCCTTTTTTTGAGCACACAAACACAAGCACAAGCTGACAAAC